GGGGCTCGATCCCAGGACCCTGGGATCATGACCTGAGCCGAAGGCAGACGCTTAACCATCTGAGCCACCCAGGCGCCCCGCTTTCCATCTTTCTTAGACAAGCTACATACCTCTGTCTGCCTGGAATCCTTCCCCCTGCAGCTTGGCTTGAGAGAGGGGCCGATATCTTGACTTCAGAGGAGCCCTGGGATGTGGAGGGCGGGATGAAGTGGGCTGAGCGTCCTCTCCGGCTCATCCCAGGATGAAGATGGGAAGGAACTGTCCGATGAGGACATCCGAGCTGAGGCGGACACCTTTATGTTTGAAGGTGAGGACGTGGGGTGAGGCTGGGGGAAGCCAGGAGGCGCCCTGTTGTCTGAAAATCGCATCTTCGCTGTCTTCAGGCAGCCTCTATTTTAGCTCCTCCTCTGCCTACAGGTCATGACACAACGTCCAGTGGGCTCTCATGGGTGCTCTTCAACTTGGCCAAGTATCCAGAGTACCAGGAGAAGTGCCGGGAAGAGATCCAGGAAGTCATGAAGGGCCGCGAGCTGGAAGAGCTGGAGTGGTCGGTTTAGGGTCGGGGGCATGGTGGCGGCAGGTTGAGTCTAGAGCTTGCATTTCTTTCTTTCTCTGGTCTGCACACATTTCTTGCTCTTGCCTGTATAGTACTCTTGCTCCTGCTGGGTGTTGTTGAGTGGGGTGGCGTCCAAACAGATGTGTGGGTTCAGGTCTGTTCCACATGTCTCCTCATTCTCCTTGAACCAGCAGCTACCCTGGGCACATTCTTCTCAAGGTAGATTCCCGAAGCACAAAGAGCCACAGTTTAAAACCTCTGCTTACATTGTGACATTCCATTTAGCTAAAGCAAGTCACAGGGCCAAGTCCAGCATGAATGGGACAGGACATACATTCCACTCACCTGAGCAGAAGACACTGCAGAATCACATGCAGAGCGCATGGGGTGTATAATTCAAACACAGGTGTGGGGTGGGGGGGGAGTGAAGAATTGGGAAAAATAATCCAATTTACTTTGGATATGTGCCATGTAGAGCTGATTCTGGGTGTCTCAAAGGAAACAGCAATACATAGCATCCAACAGTGAGAAAGAAAGCTCTTTTCTGTTCAGTGCCCACCTTTTATTTTATTTTATTTTTAAAGATTTTATTTATTTATTTGGCAGAGAGATACAGAGAGAGAACAGGTACGCAGAGAGGCAGGCAGAGGGAGAGGGAGAAGTAGGCTCCCTGCCGAGCAGGGAGCCCGATGCGGGGCTCGATCCCAGGACCCTGGGATTATGACCTGAGCCAAAGACAGCCGCTTAACCGACTGAGCCACCCAGGCGCCCCAGTGCCCACCTTTTAGATTTTGATGTCAGGGAGACACTCTCAGTTGGATGCCATTGTATCTTGAACTCCTTGCGAATCTGCCCCCCTGCCTTTTTAAAAAGATTTTATTTATTTATCAGAGAAAGAGAGAGCACAAGCAAGGGGAGGGGCAGGCAGAGGGAGAAGCAGGCTCCCTGCTGAGCAAGGAGCCCGATGCAGGACTCGATCCCAGGACCCTGGGATCATGGCCTGAGCCGAAGGCAGACGCTTAACCATCTGAGCCACCCAGGCGCCCCTGAATCTGCCTTTTTAATGAAGGGATAAGATGGCTCAGTTTCTGAGGACTAGCTAGAATTTAATAACTCCTCTGTTTTCCCAGTGATGTCTATGTTATGGGCACTTTTATCCCAGGCATGCTGTTTGCCCTTTAAGGTAGCGACATAAAATTTCTTTGAAAGAGAAAGAAAGTGATCCAGATCATGGACCAAGGGTTATAATTAATCCAATCTGGGGCCCTGGAGTCCAGTGGAAAAAAGTTAATAAGAGCATAAGGAGAGGATGTATGGGTTTTTAAGTACTGAAATTGATCCATACAGGCTGGTAAACTGCTGTGGCCCCGGCCCCCCTGCCTATCCTGGCACCCGCCCCCCTGCTGTCCTCTGACATTATTCATCAGTTAAAGGGTTAATGCTGGGCCTGCAGAAGCCTGCTGGTGCTGCTTTGATTGGTTTAGGGTCAGATATTTTGCACGCTGAGGATTAGTGATATGCTCATGCCCCAACTACAAATGCGGGAAGCTGGGGCAAGTCTGAGATCCTGGACTGGTTTCCTGTGTGGTTGCTTCTGAATGCATGTGCATGTGCATGGGCGTGTGTGTGTTCATGCGTGTGTTTGGGGAAGGGGATGTTTTTTGCTGTGGCCTGGCCTCAAGTCACCCACCATTCCACGTTCCATGCTCCCCAGGGACGACCTGACTCAGCTGCCCTTCACCACCATGTGCATCAAGGAGAGCCTACGCCAGTTCCCGCCAGTGACCTTGGTCTCCCGCCGCTGCACGGAGGACATCAAGCTTCCAGATGGGCGCATCATCCCCAAAGGTGCCCATGATGTCCTCCCGGCCGCTGGGCTGCTCTGCTGCCAAGGGGGGCCTGGTCATGCCTGCCCCAGGTGCACCCTCCCTGTAGATGGGGCATCTCTCTGTGTGGCTCTTGCTTCTGGGAGGAGGGAGGAGGGAGGAGACCCAGCGTCTCTCCCAGGGGGAGACAGAGATGGGTGAGTTTGGGTGGAAAGGCAAGAGTGGGTGTGGCAGCATGGGCCCCATGAGGGTGCAGGTAGGGGAGGGACGGTTTCATTCAGTTGCCAGATACCCCTTGGAGACTAAGCCCAAGTGATGCTGGAGATCTAGAGAGGCCTCGTTCCCAGAACCAGGCCTTGAGTACCACCCAATCTGAGGGAGACACAGCAGGGCACAGACATCCCAGTCACATGGGGTTAAGGATGGGCTAAAGGGAGGAACAGGGGCTAGAACAGCCCAAAATAAGGAGCAATGACTTTATCTGGGGTGAAATGCAGGGAGGGCTGCTTAGAAGAGGCAACATGAGAGATGAGCCTTGGAGGTTGAAAGTGAAAGAGAGAGCATATTTATGGAGCAGAGTCTCAGGGTGCAGGTAGTGAAAGACCTTGAATGCTAGGTTGAGGCATTTGAACTTGATCTTCAGGATAGTAGGGAGCCAAGGGAGGTATTTGAGCTGAGGAGGAACAATGTCAGATATGTGAGTGAGAAAGATCCCTGTGTGGCCAGCATGGCAGCTAGAAAGGTGAAGGGACCCTTTAGGGAGCTGCAGGGGGAGTGGACACAGCAGCAGAATTTTTCAGAGAAGGATGGGCAGGAAAGAGTAGCAGATGGCTCATGGGAACAGCATGGCTCCAGGAAGAGCAGGGAAGGAGGAGATCTTCAGAGAAGGCCCTGGTTCCCCTCAGCTCCGATGCCCCCACTGACCCCACCCTCCCCACAGGAATTATCTGCCTGGTCAGCATCTATGGGACCCACCACAACCCCACCGTGTGGCCTGACTCCAAGGTGAGCCCCTGCCTCAATTCTCCATTCCCTCAACTTCTTCCTCCCCAGAAGGGGTGGTCCTGGGCCGTGAGACCTCCCTACTCTGCTCCCCAGGGACCCAGATGGCCTGGCTGGGTATAGAGCTTGAGTGCCCTTCCCCCATCCATTCACTCACTGTTGATTCATTAGGTCCACAAATATTTATTGAACACCTCCTGTGTGCCAGCTTCTGTGCTGGGCACTGAGGACAGAGAAAGTTACTGCCTTTGCTCTCATGGAGCTCATGGTGAAGTTCAGGGGAAGAAAATAAGCAAAAACTATCATTGTCGTTATTGATACATGCACAAAGGAAATAAAAACTGGAGTGGGGTGGGGGGCGCTTTATCTCAAGTGGTGAAGAAAGGCGTTGAGGAGGAAGAGATATTTGAGCTGAGACCTGAAAAGTGTGAAGAGCAGAGAGAAGCCTGTTCCAGGCAGCGGAGACAAGGAGCGCAAAGGCCCTGTGGTTGTAATGAGCCTGGCATGCTTGAATAACAGAAAGAGGGTGTGGCTGGATTGTAGTGAGGTTCTTTCTGTCCAGCTGAAGGATGGGGGCCAAGCTGTGATGGTTGGGCCAGGCCCCCGGACTCACCCCCAGGCTAATTCTGCCTAGGTGTACAACCCCTATCGCTTTGACCCGGACAACCCACAGCAGCGCTCCCCACTGGCCTACGTGCCTTTCTCCGCAGGACCCAGGTAATTCTTCTATTTCCCTCAGTCCAAGCCAAACATAGGAGGGTCACCGAGGCCAGTGGAAGGTCAGGGATGTGCAGAGACCACCTCCCACCCAGATGTGCTTTCTGCCAACCCGGCACCCTCTTCATGCTTTCAGTTTACCAGGATGTCCCCCAAACAGACTCTGTGAAAGTATCCCTGGGTACTGATCAACTACTGTGTGCCAGGCCCTGAGTTCTGGGCTCATATGCTCCCAACGACTCTGATGCCGCTGCCCCCATTTTACAGATGAAGGAACTGAGGCTCAGAGGGGGAGGTCATTTACTCCGGGACTCCCCCCTTCCTGGCTCACACAGCCGCTGAGCCTGAGCCCCACACCTGTGCCCCTTCCTCTAGGAACTGCATCGGACAGAGCTTTGCCATGGCCGAGATGCGCGTGGCCGTGGCGCTGACGCTGCTGCGCTTCCGCCTGAGCGTGGACCGAACGCGCAAGGTGCGGCGGAAGCCCGAGCTCATCCTGCGCACGGAGAACGGCATCTGGCTCAACGTGGAGCCGCTGCCTCCGCGGGCCTGAGCGCCCGCGCCTCCCTGCGGAACCCCGGGGGCCCAAGCCCCGCCCGGAGAGGCCCAGGCCCCGCCCCCGAGGGACCAGGCCCCGCCCCCAAGATCCTGGGGGCAGAAACCACGCCCCTCGAAGTTCACGTTCGGCTCCCAGAGGACCAGGCTCCTAGGCGGAGAAGCCTGATGGTGCAAGCCACGCCCCTCACGACAAGGCTCCGCCTCCTGGCGGTCTGGTCCCGCCCCTTGAGGTCCAGGTCCTGTCCCCTGAGGGCCCGTTTCGGCTTTCCTGCTTGAGGGATCAGGCTTGGCCAAATCCCCTTGGGCCCAGACCCCTCCCAGGATCCAGAGCATTCAGGGTCTCAGGCCCCACCCACCCAGCCACTCAAGGACTTAAGACCCAACACCTAAGGCCTCTGGGATTCAGGACCAGTTCCCCCCGTGGATTCTGGCTGGCTTCCAAGTTGAGGACTTGGGAACTGGAGCCCGAAGTTAGAGCCCTGAACCCGGACATCACCTTCTTGAGGCTCCCAGCTCATTTGGGCGAACTCCTCTGACATCTGGCTGCATCCCAGGGCTCAGGATATGTGCTTCTGCTGTTTTGTAAATCTAGACCCTCCCTCACAAGCCCCTTCCTTCCTCCCTTGCTGAAAGGCCCTTCGCTGAGTGTTCTGATTTTTGTAGAATAAAAGCAAGGGATGCAGACGTCCCCCCGTCGTTCACCCCCTGGCTCAGCCAGACACTTCCCCTGGGGCCCAGGAAGGAAATGAAGGTCCCTGGGCTATTGGGAGGTACGTGAGGGAAGCTGTGGGCTAGGAGGCTGGGAAGCCATTTGCCCTCAGACATAAACTCAGGCTTTTTGGGACAGTTTGTGCATTCATTTACCTCATCAACAGACCACATATTAATTAAGTGTTCGTTGGCACTGGGCCAGGAGCACAGCTGGGCCCAGTTCCTGTCCTCGGGAGAACAGGGGACAGATGTTGTACAAATAATTCCACATGTAAGTTTATTTATAATCCATGACAAGTGCTCCAAATGAGAAGCCCTGGTGCTCTGCGAACGCAACAGGGGGTGGCTCAGGGAGAGCTTCTCCGATGCTGAAGTGAGGGTACAAGCTGAGTTGTGACAAAGGAGAGAAGAGCATGTCAGGCGGGAGGAACAGCATCTGCAAAAGTCCCCAGGTGAGGGAGAGCGTGGTGTTCTCGAGGAACACCACTCCAGGGTGGCTGGATCTAGAGGAGGGGGGCAGAATGGAGGAAGGTTGGTCAGGGGCCAACTGCCAGGAACTGCGGGCCACATCTCACTTAGGGCCTTATTGTGAGGGCAATAGGGAGCTATAGAGGGTATGTGAGCAGGGGGCAGGACAGGACATGGTCAGATGTGGGCTGGCAGGGAGGTGCTTCGGAAGGGGGGGCACTGGGGACTGGAAATCTGGGGAAGAGGGAGGCTGAGGTCTGCAGGACTGGAGGGGTGACTAGCTGCGGCGGCTGAGGTGAGGGAGGAGGTAAGGGTGATTCCCAGGTCTCTGGCTGGGGGAACTGATGACGGCATAGTCCCTGACATGATGATACAGAAGATGGGGCGGCAATGGTATCTACAATAATTGTATTAATTCATCATGTATTTATTGAGCATCTGCTGTGAGCCAGGCCGTATTTGAGCCCTTACATAATTGACATTTGCTGTGGGGGTGGGGGGGTTGTTAACAGATGACGGATAAAAAATAAGCAAATAAATAAGTAAATTCACACAGGGCCTTGGAGGATTTTGACTTTTATTGTGACAGAAATGGGGAGCCATGGGAGGGTTCTGAGCAGAGCAAAAGATTTGTCATTTGGTCTTTATAGTATTCTTTTGGCTAAGTGGAAAAGCAAGGGTCAGATTAGGGAGACCAGATGGGGTGACTGCATTGGCCTGTGTGAGAGAAGTGATAAGTGTTATGAAAAAATTGAGCTGGGTAAGTGTTGGGGGGTGTTCAGTAATGCTGGTGGGGGGAGAGGTTGTTCAATCATCAGTGAAACCCTCACTGAGAAGGGGTCATTTCAACAAAGACTTTAAATAGGAGAGGGCAGGAGCCATGTGGATATTTAGAAGAATGTTCGAGGTAGAGAGAAACAATGCAAAGGCCCTGAGGTAGGAACAAGCTTCGGGTGTTTAGGGGGCATTGAGGAGATCAGTGTGGCTGGAGGAGGAGCATGAAGAGAGATGAGGGCAGGCAGGGGATGGGAGCAGGTCACACAGAGCCTTGGAGTCCACTGATTTTATTGTGACAGAAATAGGGAGCCATGGAGGGTTCTGGGCAGAGGAGGTACAAAATTTGTCATACAGGGCGCCTGGGTGGCTCAGATGGTTAGGCGTCTGCCTTCGGCTCAGGTCATGATCCCAGGGTCCTGGGATCGGGTCCCGCATCGGGCTCCCTGCTCCTTGGGAGCCTGCTTCTCCCTCTGCCTCTCTCTCTCTCTCTTCCTCTGTCTCTCATGAATAAATAAATAAAATCTTTAAAAAAAAATTTGTCATACAGTCTTTGCTTGCTATGTTGAATAGAGACTGTGAAGTGAAGATGGGACTAGGGAGATCAGATGGGGTGACCAGATTTGTCTAGGTGAGAGATGACAATGGCTCCAAGCAAGCTGGGGGCTGTAGAGTGAAGACAGGTGCTTGGATTCTGATGACAGGGTGCTTTATGAAGGTAGAGCTGGCAGGTTTGCTGATACTTTGAATGAGGGATTCAGGAGAAAGGGAGGACCCCGGGTTTGGATCTGAGCCCCTGGAAAGATAGAAGTGACACCTTGAGATGGAGAATGCTTAATAGAGTAAGGTTTTTTGGGGGGAGGGGTGAGGGACTGAGATCACCATGTCAGTTTAGGCCAGGAGGAGTTGGAGATGTCAAGTTGGCAGTTGGATAGGCAGGTCTTGAATTCAGGAGGGAGTTCCGGGCTGGTGATATATGTTTGGAATACCTCAGCACTTAGATGATTGCTTTTTTTTTTTTTAAGATTTTATTTATTTATTTAAGAGAGAGAGAGCGCATGAGAGGGGGGAGGGTCAGAGGGCGCAGCAGACTCCCTGCCGAGCAGGGAGCCCGATGCTGCGCTCGATCCAGGGACTCCAGGATCATGACCTGAGCCGACGGCAGTCGCTCAACCAACTGAGCCACCCAGGTGCCCTAGATGATTGTTTAAAAAGCCCCAAGATTAGTGCAATCCCTGTGTGTGTGTGTGTGTGCGCGCGCGCGTGTGTGCGCGTGCACTCTCCTGGGTACACCCGTGTGCGTCCAAGATGGAGGGGTTTCAGGACCAAGCCCTCGGGGTCTCCAAAGTTGATATAACCATAATAAGATTTAAAGTTGGTTGAGAGCTTCCTTCGTGCCCTCCAAATATTCGCACGTAATTCTCACGGGTACTGTTATTACGATATGGGTACTGTCATTATCTCTTTTAATGGGGGTGGAAACGAAGTTCCCTAAGGTGAGATGATTCACCCAAGGTCCAACAACAGTGTCCTCATAACGTGGCCTCAGAGGGGTGGCTTACTCCCCCAGGCTTCTAGTGCTGGTCTGGGACCATCGCCTCGCTTTGCCTATAAGGGGGTGTCGGCAGGCGTGGGTGGAGCGGGGTGGGTGCGGGGGCGTGGAGAGAGGTCAAAGCCAGGAGGTGTGGTGCTGGAGGCCACAGCGGTGTGTGTCCTGCGGCGCCCGCGGGTGGCGCGTGCTGGGATCGGGGAATCCCCCAGCCCTCCAGCAAAACAAACTTGGTCTTGGGAGGTGACATATGTGGGTTCAAACCCCAGCTCTGGCCCCTTTCTAGCGGTGACCTTGGGCACGTGACTGGCCCTTTCTGCACCTCGGTTCTCCTTTGCCAGGTGGATTTTTCATCATGCTTCTCATGCATATTAACTTTCCGCTAAGGTCGGTAATGGTGAGTGAATGAGGGAGGGAGGAGGGGAGGCATGGGGCCCGTGGATCCCCGGGACCTGCTGCATCTGCGTGTCCGATTCTCCAGACACACGCAGGCCTGGGCCAGTCACCGGTTGCTGTGGGTCTCCTTCCTCTCCTGAGTGTGTCGGAGGCTCCCTCTGCTGGACGGTTGAGGGACAACAAACTCTACGGCGTCTGGTCTCCATTAGTCCAATGTGTGTATGAGGGTGTGTGCACGTGACTGCATGGGTGTGTGCACATGTGTGTGAGTAAGTGTGTGGATGTGTGCACGTGAGTGACCATACATGCATGTGAGTGTGTGTACGTGTGCAACTGTGGAGTGTGGGTGCACTGTGTGAGTACATGTGTGCATGAGATTGTGTGTGCACACGTGTGCGTTTGTGAGTATACATGTATCTACGAGTGAGAGTGTGTGTGTGAGACTGTGTGTGGGTGTATTGGGAAGAGAGGAGGGAGAACCTCACCCTCACTCACTGAACATCTGTAAGTGTCCACATCAGGCCACTGTCCAAACTCCACCCTGTTGCAGCCGGCAGGACATTCTGGAGAAATAATGCCCTTGGCCCTGGCCCTGAGTAATGACTGGTGGGCTCCTGCTGTCTCCCAGAGATCCCCAGAGGGACTGAGCCCCAGCTGCCCCAAGTGGGAACTTCCTTGACAAAGCCCCGTTTCCCTGCTGCCTTTTCTTCTCTGTCTCACTCCGTCTCACTGCCCTACTGGCATCTCCTGGGGTCACTTCCCAAAGGAACAATTTGCAGTTGAATTCCTGTCTCAGAATACAGTTTTTGTTTTTGTACTTGAAGCCTTGCATTAGAGTCTACTTCTGGGAAAACCAAACCAAGACACACAAGTCACTCCTCCAATCCTCACAAGCCTATTACTATGCCATTTTTTACCAAGAAGGAACCTGAGGCTCAAAGAGGGCAAGTCACTTGGCCCAAGGTCACACAGCTGGAGAGTGGCAAAGGTGAGCCTTGACCATGGGCCATCTGACCCTGGCACTCGCTCCCCCGGAAGAGCTTCCTCCTTGCTAAGGACCAAGGGAATGAACTGGGGTGGAGGGCGGGCATTCACAA